TAAGATAAGGATAGATTAGCGCGTAGTATAATGAGAGCAGAGTGGGGAACATAATATCTGATTTTAGAGAGTATACCGACCGTTTTTTAGACTTTTTTGACTATGTGTTGTATATGTGGATGCTGAAATTCAGTCTCTGGTCTAAGTATAGGCCAAGAAACTTTCCCACATTTTTATTGCTAATGTTAACATGCCTATATGATGTTGAATTTGATTTGACGATTTACTAGCAAATAAAATGGAGTAGGTATTTTCTATGTTTAGTGTGAGTTTGTTGGTTGACATTCATGAGTGGACTCTTTTAATTCATTATTTACGATATAATTTAGTGTGTTGGGGTTGGGGTCAGAATAGATGAAGGTAGTATCGTCAGCAAATAATATGGGTTTAATAATGTTAGAAACGTTTGGCAAATCATTGATATATACAAGAAATAGGAAATACCCTTAGAGGATGTAAATTTAGTTTTTTTTTCAATCCCTCTTCATGAGAAAGGTTTCCAATTTCTGGGACTAACTTTTCATCCTTCTCTGTACACGTTCAAGTGAATTTATGTCCACCCTATAATAATGAGACCAAAACCTAATATGTCCTACATTATGCATAATTTAAACAAGGACAAGATGAAGCTGGAGATGACATTATAGATGGCTTGTTGCTAACACTTCTTGAAATATCAAAAAAGCCTCAAAAACGGTCAGTATACTCTAAAATCAGATATTATGTTCCCCACTCTGCTCTCCTCTCATTATACTACGCGCTAATCTATCCGTATCTTTCCTCCCTGGACAGATGTAATAAAACCCATAATCACCACACCAGAAATAAATATATTTTTGATATCCCCAGAGTCAAACTTAATCTGTGTAAACACTCTATACAAACAACGAATTGAAAAGCTTTCCAACTTTTGCCTTATTCAAAAATATAACCAAAAAGCACCTATTTTCATCTTCATAGTTTCCTACCTAGTGCTTTAAACTCGCACTGTATCTTGTGTTCCCCAATCCTCCAATATATGTACCTAAGCCATACAACTTCACTATTGTAATCATTGTTATCATCTTATATCATGGTTGTTATATTAAATGCTTATTTTACTGCATTATACCTTGAAATAATCTTCAAATTATGCTACAATGTACCTGATGTTAACCCTCAAATTTTACTTTAATATACCTACTAATCTTTGTCATAATTTCTTACAATGTACCTGTTACATTTGTTTTAATTTTGTTAGAAATTACCTACTTAAAATTATCTGTTAGATTAATTAAGGACCTGCCTGAAACGCTATGCTTGTTAGTGGTTTTACAAGAATGTAAAAACATTAATGCTATGTACTCTCATAAACCCAATGTACCTTCTTGTATATATATAAAATAAATAAACAAATAAATAAAAATCCCAGTATTCTATTTGCTTTATTCCGTATATATCTACATTGATTTTTGGGGTGCTTAAGATCCTTACTAATCAAAGGGTCTTTCTTGCATTCATGCTGTGCAATTTATAATAATAATAATAATAATAATAATAATTAATATTGGTAATGCCTTCTCACAGACTTAATACCATAGGATATAAAAACCCACATTTGTGTATATGTGAAATTTGTGTAAGGAATTTACACCCAGTCTTTCACAGTCTCCTGAGTGGTTTATCAAGGTGTGTGTGGTGAGAACGAGACTTACATCTCAACGTCTAATCAAATGATTAGACGTTGAGATGTAAGTCTCGTTCTAATCACACACTCAGACCTTGATAAAGCACTCAGGAGAGTGTGAAATACTTGGTGTAAATTCCTTACACAAATTTCACATATACACAGGTGTGGATTTTTATCCTATATTATTATTATAATTATTTATATGTTTCATTATTCACGTGACAATAATCCGAGAGTAAATAACATTTTCACTTAACAACCCGCTAGCTTGTACTTGGTGAATTATTGAATTACTGTACATTGATTATTTCCACCGCTTGGGCTGGACGGTAGAGCGACGGTCTCGCTTCGTGCAGGTCGGCGTTCAATCCCCGACCGTCCAAGTGGTTAGGCACCATTCCTTCCCCTCCATCCCGTCCCAAATCCTTATCTAACCCTTACAAGTGCTATCTATTCGTAATGGCTTGGCGCTTTCTTTTGATAGTGCCTTTCTCTTCCATCATGATGGCGTCCTTGTGGAAAGTGTCTATCTAGTCACTCTCAGGGATCTCGGTTATGTTGGGTTCTGGCAATATAATACATTATTTTAGTGATGTTGTGTGTATGTACGCGCAAGTTTGTGTGTGTGTATAAAGCCTAGTATATCGCTTAAAACAGCGCCATTTTTTCCAATCTGATTGATTGTCTCTTTTTCATATTTACTTTACAGATACCAAGGGAAGATATAAGTATGCAAATTATAAAAGGATATAACTGGTGGTTATTTATAGCGTTTTAAATATACCAACAAAATAGAATACGAACCAATGGATACAAATTGGCTAAATACGATAGGGTTTCTGATCGGCAGGTGCGTGAGGACACCTCCAGGAAGGCAGTTCTTATATTGGCTAACCTGGCATATGCCACTGATGATATATTTTTGACGTGGGCTTGATTTATGCTTGATTGGAGGGGTCAGGCTCGGTGTGATATCAACCCCAAGATCTTTCTCTCTACCTGATTCTTTAAGGATTTCATCTCGCAGTTAGTACCTTGTGTTCAACCTCCTGCTCCCTACATCTATTTTCAATATTTGACACTTGATTAAGTTAAACTCTAGTAGCCATTTGCTGGACCATTCCTTCAGTTTGTCAAGGTCGTCTTGTAGTTTCTTGCTGTCTTCCTGTCTTACTCCTCATAATTATAGCATCATCAGCAGACATTGAGAGGAAAGAACCTATACCCTCTGGAAGATCATTATACGTATATCAGAAACAAGATAGGTCCTAGTGCAGAACCCTGTTGAGGTCCGCAGGTGACATCTTACAATTCTCAGATCTCTTAACTTCACAGTAACTCGTTGTTTTCTGTTGATTTGGTACTCCCTTATCCACTCTTGTTTGGTACTGTGTAAAAGGCTTTCTGACAGTCCAAGAAAATCCAGCCTGCCCATCCTTCTCTTTATTGCTTAATTTTTGTAGCCTGATCATAGGATTCTAATAAACCTGTAAAGCATGATATACTATCCTTGGACCCCATGGTGGTGTGTTTTGATGTCCCTTCTCTCCATATGTACTACTAGGTTTTCCCTCGCGAACTTCAGCATCACGTACCTTGCATAGTATACAAGTTAGGGACACTAGTCTGTAGTCCAGTGCCTCCTGCCTGTCACCCTTTGTAAATATTGGGACTGCGTTAGCTGTCTTAAAACTTTTTGGTAGGTCTCCCATTTTCAGTGAAATATTATACACCATAGAGAGTAGCACACAGTATTTCTGCACTCTCTTTTAGCATCCATAGCGAGATTTCATCAGTTCCAACAGCCTTTATCACATCCATTTGCTGCAGATCCCTCCAAATTTTATCTCTGGCAGTTTCAAACTCTTCCAAAGCTGCTTGGATTAACGCCACCTCTTCTAGCTTAAGGACTCTGATTTGTTGAGAATACCTCTTGGAATCTCACAATGACTTCTTCACAAACCTTGTATTCTCTCTGTTCCTGTCCTCCCCCCTTTCTCAGCTTCGCTTCCCACACTTCTGGCCCTCTATTGTATATCCCCTGCTCTCTGGTGTTCTGTTATTTCTGTAGTTTCTCCACGTTTTTGTATTTAATTGATTGCTTCCTTACATACCTATTTGAACCACGGATTCCTCTTTTGCTTTTGGGCCGGGATAAACTTGCCTACTGCCTAGCTCCTGACGCTTCAGGGGCATGTAGTCCATCATGCCATATACAGACTTTTCACAGAGTTGTGTTTCCCATGGTATTCCTACAACGATTTTTCTTATCTTGTCATACTTTCTCCCCTTCGGTTACCTAACTAAAGTATTTTTCGGGGGTTAATTAAGTTCCTGAGCCCATTATATATTTCTGTAACAGGATGGGCAAGGTCAGAGAACATATAATAAATGAACTAAACGAAGAAACTGTATTATAAATCTACTTTGATGTGGATTTGTTAGGGCTCCATATGAGATTTATACATTATTGGTGTCGTAACTACCACGCCAAAGTTCCTCATCTACACATGTGTATTTATATGAGGTGTACTCCGCTTTTTGGTGTATGTGTTCAGCAATGAGAGCCGACTTATGCTCAGGTCTAAACTATACTTGCTGGTGGTGAGGGTGGTAGTGTTGTGGTCTTAGTAACCTTCCAGAGGCTGGTGAGCCCTCAGCCCAACACCAAACCAAGACCCAGCGGGAAAATATAAATATTTATATGTGTAGATGAGACTAGTAGGCGCCGGGCGGGCGTCAGGCGTCACGGGCCGAGCATTGTGGGAGTATCGACGTTTGGCTTCTGCTATCAGCTGATTTGAGTGAAGCTTGTTTATCACTCGGGGAGCCCGGCACGTTGACGAACATTTCTGCATGTCTGCGAGGTACGTGGCACGTGCCGGTAGTGTGACAGGGGCTGGTGATGACAGGGTAGACGGGAGAGTGATGTGGGATGGGTGGTGCGAGCCGTGTGGCCGTCCCCAGCAGGGACGGGTGGGTGAGTGGCCTCCCAGGGATGTCTTTCCCACTATCCGGATCCGGTCCTCTTGTCAATATTGTGTATTACAGTGTTTTAGAGTGTCTGTCAGCGAGAAATTGGCGTGGAACTGAGTAATATACAGCTCTTGGCTCTTAAATGCAGTGGTAGTCTTGGGCAACAATGTCCACCAAATGAAAGAGTACAGTTTGACAATCAGTCGTGCAATATGACCTTGCTACAATGTTAGTTGAGAACCTTGACACACCTTTTGACTCGGCACTGCCACTCAGGACAGTATACGTGTGTTCAGTGCCAAGCGACAGCATCACAGTGGGAGCATACCTGGAGATGGTCCTTGAAGTTCTTCTCCCAAGCCAGGTCTGAGGTGGTGGGGGTATGCTCGGTTGGGTAGAGTTGCCCATTTCTGGGCAGTCACCTATAACAGGATGCTGGAACCAATAAAACCCAATAGCGCCTGCATCAGCTAATAGAACGAAACCACCAAAAATGCCAGAAACTTCGAATATACTCCAGTAACATATTGAAACATGAAAGGTATCCTGGTAAACCTGGTAACATAAATATTATTCCATTTGGGGTTCCGTGTTTATGTGCATAGTTTTTGTAAAAAGTAAGAATTTTTTTATCAGTAAATTTAAAGGGGTCAGTATTTGACTTTAGTTCTCTTGTTTCTAGGTGGTTGCATGGTCCTTAAAATATAGGATGACAGGTAGACACATATAAAGTTACATTATGAATAATAAATGTAACAATACATTTAATGCAATACAATATACAGTAGTACAATATAATAATACAAAAAATATAACACATTTATAATAATAAATGTGTGTATATGCCCAAGTCAAGAATTTCATCTCTAAATCAGTTGCAAACAATGTACCATGAATATATGCTACAGTGATTGTAAACAGCACTGTATATCAGACCTTAATTAACAATCGGTGGTTCCTGAAGAATGAGCCACTGAATATAGAATATCCAGATGCTGGTACTGTATCCATACCAAGCAGGAATTCTTTAATAAAATGTGCACAAATAAAACTTATGAATATTAAGCCAACTCCTCCTGACCAAGCCAGGAGGAGCTGGCTTAAAAAAGTGGGTCAGAGAGTTATGAGCTGATATATCATGTTATGTTTGTAAATCTGAATATAAAGAACTAAAAACATCTTGCAACAGAGCGTTATTATACATTATTGTCTACTGCACTTGGTTCCATAAACATACTTCTTAAAAGATGATCACTAAAGATTAAACAGAGGAAAAATTTGTCACAGACTACTAATGTGTGTAACTGGGAAATATGGTTATAATGAACATGTTCAAGTGTGGCAGGCTTAAGAACAGTCATGTTCGGGAAATTTATGAAGGCTTATTATATAGGATTTATGGTAAGAGCCTCACTAAACAGGGTCATTATATAAATTTAATACATTTCAACTCCTATCCACATCCACACAAACCCATACAGTTACACAGCCTGCAAATTATGTGAAAAGGGTTCGAAAACTCTGACAAAGAGAAATGCAGTTCTGGATACTAAACGGTCACCAGAGGATCACATAAAGAACATTGTGTAAGGTGCTTGTGCTCCGCTTTCTAGTTTCAAAATCACTTACGAATACAGTATATGGACATTGAAATTTAAGAATTGTTCACAATGTTTGAGACCAAAATTGAAATATGTAGCTGATGTATGGTGCCAACATCTCTAAAAAAGCACATCAACAAATGGGAAAAAATGCAAAGACATGCTACTGAATCGCTTCTGGAACTGAAAAACGAGAGCTATTGGGAGAGGCTAGAGGTGTTACATTTGCCAAAGCTGGAAGATAGAAGAAAAAAGAGGATATAATCACTATATACAAAATAGTAAGAGGTTGATTGATTGACCCAGAGGAATTTTTGAAAACTACAGCTTTGAGAACAAAAGGGGCATAAATTCAAGCTTAGGAAGCAAAGATGCAGAAAAATACTAGAAAGTTCTTTTCAAGAGTGGTAGATGGTTGGACAAAGTTAAGTGAGAAGGTATTGGTTGCCAAAACTGTCAGTATTTTCAAAGCATCATATAACACAGTACTATACTGAGAAAATGAGACACCACAAGCATAGCTGTCACACTGTAACTACACTTGGATAATTAACTATGTTGCAACCCGTTCTTGCACAAGACAGCACATATGACATTGCTTAGTCAATATTTGGCTTAGGAATAAGTACATATGTGGTATATTCCAAGTTATATTTTTTTCAAGGCACTAACTCTTCTTCTAAGTTTTATTAAACAATAGAGATTTTATAAAAAAAATTGACAATATCCTGAGTTACTTTACAATTTATTTAAATATTTTAGTTTTGTTTTATTATTTTTATAAAACTGTAATATCAATATAGGTATAGGTTAAGTACTAATTGTAATATCTTAACATTAAGAAGGTTAGGTTAGGTCATGGTTTTCTATTCAGCTTTTCAGGTAAACTCAAATATTCACAATAAATTAGTATATCACATATGCACTTATTAATAAGCAAAATATTGACTATAAGCAAGTGCGAGAACGGGTTGCCACATGAGCAACGCACAAACTTGTGCGTGCACATGCTGGCTATGAGAGTACTGTAATAGTAGTCGGTGGCTGGAGGTAAGACTTGATGGTCAAGAGCTTGTGATGGGAATACAGTCCTTTTTTGGTGTGTATATACAGTATTTTATTACTGCATGTCTTACTTTTGTTTATAGGCAGAATGGGTGGGAGTCACAGACGTGGTGTGCGAATCCTCTTAATAGGGGATGCAGGAGTAGGCAAAACCTCTCTCATACTCTCCCTAGTTTCTGAGGAGTTTCCTGAACAAGTTCCTCCACGAGCAGAAGAGATAACAATTCCCCCAGATGTAACACCAGAGAAAGTCCCTACACACATTGTGGATTACTCAGGCAAGTTTTCTGCATAGTATATATTGTTACAAATTAAGAGTGGTTTCATTGTTATTGTTAGTACAGTATTATTTAACTATTGCATAATTTAAATTAATGGAATATTGTAGTACTGTATTCTGCAATACTACTATATATGGATTACTATATATATATAATAGTATTACTATATATGATGTATTGCTATATATGGATTAGGGGCAATGGCACTAATGGCGAGAGGATGTGGAAACAACTCATCTGCAAAATCAGTTGTACAGAAAGTACAGTAAAGGGAAAATGTTTTTTATTTGAAGGAAAAGAATAAGGTAAAGTTCAACTTAAATTTAAGCTAATTTAAACCAGATTATGATAACCAGAATTCACCCCTGTAAGTGGAGGATGAGAGATTAGTGGAGTGAGCTCAGATAACTGAATTGATGTATAAGTGGAAGAAATGTCAAATACTATACTGACAGAATTGAAGATTGGTATGGAAAAGGTTAGAGAAGACGGTGGTGGTTGGGTGACAGTGGAAAAGGAGTTAACACTTTGGTGCACCCCGCTCGCCACCCCTCAACTGTGCGATATGGGACCCAGGGTGTCACGGGAGTGCGCGTAAAATCTGAAAAGTGTATACTCTCTTCAACTTTGTCACCTTAATTCTCGTCCTACGAGATTAAGTTTGGTATCATTGTGTTCGCAATAGAATTCTCTACAGCACTAAATGCATATAAACTCCAAAAGCCCGGCTAATTACCCGCAGCAAACAGAGAAAGTGCGAGCGAGTTACCCAGGAGCGCTCAAACGCGATAAAATGTTTTCACTATTTTCACTGGTCACCTCAATTTTTATCCTAGGTCTTTCATTTTGGTCTCAATGGGTTCGCAATAGAATTCTCTAGAGGAACATTAGCATATCAAATAAAAAACCAGGTCACGCTCCAACCGCCGACGAGTTGAAGACGGGCCACGCGTTAGCCGCGAGTGAGTGCTCAGCCGCCTTCCACCTACACTCCCAATTCCCGCCCTTTTCAAGCCTTTCTTTCGCAATTTTCTTCCTGGAAGGGCCTTGTTCATGATCACTATCCATCGTGGAGTAAGCGTAGATAGTTTCTAAAGCCGCAGTAAGAAATATAGCCACGGAAAATAGGCGAAATGTTCACACGTTTGAGATGCGAGGGGAGGCGACATTGGTCACAACAGTGGAGCGAAAGCAATGGACCCACGGCATGTGCCAAGCTGCCTAAGGGCCACGAGGCTCAACAAGGAAAATGGGAAGACATCGGCATGCATTTTAAAACCAGTCCCCAAAAAATTGGATAAAAACCTGATTTTTGGCGATTATTTAAAGTGGATGACGCAATGCTGCGTCATCCCCGGAATTACCACCAGTAAACGGATGACGCAATGCTGCGTCATGCCCGGGCGAAAGTGTTAACTTGGTAGAGAAAATTGGTTGCAAGGGTGGACAGTATGTTTCAAAGAGGAAGTATGTGTAGATAAACTGATGTATAATTGGAATAGATATGCAACACTGTATAGAATACTGTATTGTAGTATTGCCAGATATGTTATTTGATAAAATAGTACATTTTATGCAGTATTCACTGCTGAACATTGATTTTACAGCTGCAGTGAGAGTTGGCACAAATATTATCTTTCCAATCCAGAACGGGAACAAAGTGTCGATCAATTACGTGCCGAGATCAATCGCTCCGATGTGATATGTGTGGTGTACAGTGTTGAGGATGAGGACACATTGGATAGGGTAACTGGTCATTGGCTTCCCCTCATCAGATCAACTCTAGGCCAACATCATCATATACCGGTCATCCTAGTTGGCAATAAAGTTGACCTTGTAGATTATTCAACCATGGAAGTAAGTACCATTTTCTGCTCTTATAATCAGGTAAACACCAAGTCGTTTTCACTGCATGAATTATTTTAATTTTTGTTTTTGTCCATGTGAGGTTTGGAAGACTTCTTTTATTAGCTTGAAACTTTCAAGGTGTATGTATTGTGATGAAAGGAATGATCTTATTGAGTCATGTAGCTGGTTTATGGTAGATTTTAGAGTACCATTCTCAGAATCATAAGAGATGGTGGTTGTGGTTAAATGTAAATGCTTTTTAACACTTTCATATGCATGCCCTGATCCAGAGGATGCAGTATTGTTAATAGTCTGTCCTATAGAGTTTTGTGATATGTGCAATTTTTATTTCTTTATATTTTATCAAAAAGAATTTGCAGTTTTATTTAGATTTGGTATGTGCCTTAGTACCATACCATATGCTATGTAAATTTTCATAACATAACTCCAGTCATTTTAAAGTTATAAATGATCTCATAATTAGTTATGCCCTGCTTAGTCAAGGCAGGTTGACAGTTTACGCTAGGGCAGCAGGGATTGGCAAAACTCAGCTTGGTGCAGATGGGATAATTGCTCTAAGGAATGTTTTAACCCAAAAGGATTAACTTTTTAATCCTTTCTACCTCCTGCAGTCTCCCTGCTATGTTCCAAGTTAGTTTTCACCCTGGGGTGTGTGCAGTTTGCTGTGTGTGGATTTTGGCCTTATTTGTGGAGCCTTTATCCAAGTAGTTAGCTTATGTGGATGTTGATAGGTAATTGGGCTCTTAAATTTAAATGTTGGAGTCTCAATTTCTGGCTAGTGCGGAGAATAAGCAGAATCCTTTCTGGTGATCTAACTGTGACCATTTCTTCTATCACCTTCTTCATCCTGCACTCCTTATTACACCCTGTTTTCTTTTCACCCACTTTACTCATTTTGTAACTGTTGTTTATCCTGGATGAGAGTGCTGGAGAATAACCCTCTTGATCAAAAGATATCTTGAGCATATTTTATATTTTGCATTTGTTTTATAACTGATCACCTATATATCATTGAGTGGATCAAAATATAACTTTGGGGTCTTTTTGAAAAAGAAAAATCCAACAGTATTTGGAAGCTTGATAATTTATTTGGTATTAAAATGGTTTTCTTCAGAAGTTTGTTTTATGTTGAGCATGTACTTAAATTTACCTGAGTTTACCCGAGAGCTACTAGCACTTGTGGCCTCGATGAGGACAGGAAGCTGGTGGCTTGTCGAAGGTCCCCCCATTTGCATTGATGATCGTTAAAACTTGTTTTATAAATATTATTTGACTTGGTTAATGTAGCTGTAACACTTTCTTCTAATATGCCATAAAGAGTTTTGGAGATACAGTAGCAGCATATATTTTCAACCAGTTAAGACTAATAATGTAGCAAAGTACCGTACTGATCTTTTTAGCAATGTTAATTAAGATTTCTAATCTTAATTTCTAAGACCAAGAGGTTATCTTGGTACACTTTAAAGGAAATTAATCTTTTTTGAAAGACTACCATATACCATATTAATACATTCCTACTGCTAATTCATAGCTGAAACACTAATTGACAAAGGTGTTAATGATATGAAAGATATCTTATCATAACTTATCATTATTAACATAATGCATTATAATGCTAATAATGTGAATCAATGCCTAAGAATTTGGTGCATATGTATATGAATACCTAATATGTATATAGTTTTGTAATTACCGTACTAACAACACACGTTAATTTATTTACAGATTGTATTGCAGACTATGATGGAGTATCCAGAAATTGAAACATGCGTTGAAGTAAGCTGTCATTTAATGTATTTTTTGTTATGTGCATATACCTGTGATACTGTACTAATTTTAGGTATAACAATCTTGACTTTAATTGTTAGTGTAACCTTTAAAATTTGTTTGGAACTTTAAAAATTATTAAAGTATTACCATGTGCAGTATGTTTACTGAACTCAGTCAAATGGAAATTAAGAGGTTTTATCTGCAATATATTAGTTAATGCTGCATTTTGAATGATAAAACTATCTCTCTTTCCTTAACCTTTTGGTTGCATTAAGCAATAGCAGTTGATTCATGAAAATGTCCTAGAATGTAACAAGTGACCTGATTCCACATGCATATTTTTGTTAATTGTGCTCAAGGAAAAGGAGATTTCATTAGAGTTTTTTCAAACATGTTTAAAGGAGTCATAATTGTTTTCTTGCAGTGTTCAGCAAGGACGCTCAAGAACATTTCTGAAATGTTTTACTATGCTCAGAAAGCAGTACTTCATCCTACAGCTCCTTTATATATTTTAGAAGAAAGAGATGTGAGTTTTTTTTACATATAGTAACAGCTTTATTGTGTTTATATTTGTGAAAAAAGCAATGTTTATACACTGAAGAAAATTACATCTAATAAATTAATGACTTTGATGTGTTACTTGCCTTGGAAAAGCCCCCCCCCCCCCCAAAAAAAAAAAAAAAACATTATGGGAGGGCTCCCTTTGGTGGCTCTTGTGGCTGCCCACCTGGACACTCAAAGCCTTAGGCTCTTTCAAGTCATGAGTACTTACCAAGGACCAGTACCAGAATATGGCTTCCTCAATATGATACATAGATGAATAGGATACTTAGATGAACCCCTCACTGAAAAACAACTGACCAGAAAGAGAGCTCTTCAAATCAAACAGCTGCATGGAAGATATTGGTAACTGATCTAAGCTATGAATATATTCATCCAGAATTCATCTACTAATTAGCAACACTACTCCAGCCTGGAGTCCACATCTAGTCAGACACAAAGCAAAGTTAGAAAAGGTTCAGAGGTATGCCACCAGGCTAGTCCCTGAGCTGAGAAGTATGAGCTACGAGGAAATATTGCTGGAACTAAACCTCATGACCCTTGAAGACACAAGAGTTAGGGGGGGACATGATCACTATTTATAAAATTCTCAGAAGAATTGACAGAGTAGATATAGATAAACTGTTTAGCATGGGTGATACATGAACATGGGGACACAGGTGGAAACTTAGTACTCTAATGAGCCACAGGGACGTTACAACTTTTTTCAGTGTCCTGAGTAGTTAACAGATTTAATGCATTAGGCAAAAGTGGTGGAGACAGACTCCATACACAGTTTCAAATGTAGATATGATAAGAGCCCAATAGGCTCATTAATCTGTACACCAGTTGATTGACAGTTGAGAGGCGGGACCAGACAGCCAAAGCTCAACCCTTGCAAGCACAACTAGGAGAGTACTAATACCCCAAACCACCATTGCGAGCATATTGTGTTATGTGAGTATTGCTAGCCAGCAATTGGTTCTGGGCAACAACTGTGTGTTTACGTGTGTGTATCAGGGTTAACAATGCTTTCCAAAAAGTTGCTTGTTTTGGTATGCTTTACTTCTTTATGTCTGTCCTGGCTTGATCTACATATCCCCACACTTCCCTTGCCCCTGTTGAGGGGGACCAGATTTTGGTACTGGTCTTCAGTAGGCTCATGATTTAAGAGAGCTTAATAGGGAACCTATGGCTTGGGGAATCCAAATGGGTAGCTTTGGGAGCTACCAAATGGGCCCATCAGAGTTGTGCTACATTGGATTTTTCTAATAGTCTCCCCAGCTTGGTGCTTTCTTTTGATAATTGCTTTCTCAATGATATGCTCTAAATGAATCATTTTTGTTTCAGCTGACAGAAAAATGCAAGAAAGCATTAATAAGAATTTTTAAGGTAAGTCCGATTCACACTTATACCTGTACGTACAATATACATAAATACCACAAGTATATGGCTGACTGACTAGTATAAGGGAAGTACTTTTAGAGTATCTGAATGTGGAAACATTTATAAATTTTACACCTCCAGTATTAGGATGTGCATCACTAGGATGGAACCCTTTTCCTCATAAAGTACAAAATAAAAGAATTGAAGTACTGTATTTGAAACTGCTTTTTAATGAAAGTAACTGTGTGGGGTAAAACTATGCAGGTAAAACTTTAAGAAGAGATTAAGAGTAGCGAGTAATATTACTGGTATATACTTATACAGGCTTGAAATTGAAATTAATTAGTTGAATTTCACTATACATACAGAAATAGTATACAGTATAGTCTCATTAAAAAAGTACTGGATAAAATTTTTAAGAGAAGACAATTAGAATGCATGTATGATCATTGCCATCTCTATTGTTCAGTGAAGTTAACATACTTGGTTTAAATATTTGAAATTATGTACTTAATAGTTCATATTAGTAGTTCATATTAGTGGTACACAGCATTAGGGTAATAATTGGGAATTTATTAATTTAACTTGGGCAGATTTGTGACACTGACAACGATGGCCTCCTTAATGACCAAGAGCTCAACACTTTCCAACGGCGGTGCTTCAATGCTCCTCTTAACCCTCAGGCAAGTTATTTATTGTAACCTTGTTTATGCAGGCGATGAGTCACAATAACGTGGCTAAAGTAAGTTGACCAGACCACACTAGAAGGTGAAGGGACGACGACGTTTCGGTCCGTCTTGGACCGAATAGTCCAGGACGGACCGAAACGTCGTCGTCCCTTCACCATCTAGTGTGTGGTCTGGTCAACCTTGTTTATATTCATCTTTCAAATTGCCTATTTTATTCAGAATAATTGGAATACATGTATGATCTATAGAGTTTTTCTGGTGACTGGTGTTGAAGTTATTCATAATATATATTCCACTTTGAAGTGATTTTGTTTACAATTGTATGTAGAAAATCTTATGAATCGGCATAGTTTCTGCTGTAATGTTCATAGAAAGAGCAAAAAAGTGAGTGACCCTGGTACGGTACTAATCTTAAGCACTGTTGGATGATTTAGCACAATCCAGTCACAGTTTGCCCTCCTGAATGGTTCATTTTAGTGTTATCTGCTGATAATAGTTCACTGTGGTTTGTAATCCACTAAATAAAATTCAGGCTTTAGATACACACTCAGTTTACACTGTGTATTAAATTTTTATGTACAGTACTCTATAAATATTAACTATTTTAGTGAAACAAATTTGTTATAGGCCTTGGAAGAACTGAAGACAGTTGTGCAAAGGAATGTGTCGGATGGGGTTCATGCTGATTCCCTTACGTTACGGGGCTTCCTCTTTCTCCATCGACTATTTATTCAGCGTGGGCGTCACGAGACAACATGGACCGTTTTAAGAAAATTTGGTTATAATGATAATCTTCAGCTTTCCAAGGACTACCTATTTCCCATGTAAGGAAACTGATGAGTTAAGGTATTATGAGATGTTTTATTTTTGCCTTTATTGGCTCAAGATGTGTAATTCATTCTCTTCACTGAACGTCATTTAGCAAAATGTTAACAGAAAGGGTGTTTGTTTGCAATTTCTTGCCTTACAGAAAGACTTGTATATGACTAAGAATAGAACTTAAATGTTATATTCCCCAGTTCCTGCATGTTACATCTTATCATGCAACTTGAAACAAATCATGAGGGGAATGAATGAGATTTTTTTAAATTGAGTACAACATAATCTAACTAGGTCCTTGAACTAGACTAGGAAGTATTACTTTTTTAAGGGATAGGAACCTGGACTTCAGAAAAATCTTGTCATTTTCTTGATATAATCAGTGTATTAGTTATTAGTTATGCCATTACCAGTAGTTATCTAATTAATATTTATGTGCTTCATCAAGATGTCCTGGATTTGTTCTCTAAAGTCTCCAGTCTCGTAGTTAAGGAAGCATTATAATTTGACCCTGCTGCCTCCGTTACTTCTTCAAATTATTTCTTGGTAATGGTACAGAACAGATGAAAACAGAGGCTCTCTCTATTATTCTAATGTGTGGTGTAGTTTATTTCTTCTGCTTGTTACTTTACCAATTGATTGGATTGATCATCCAGCGCTTGTCACAGTTACATAATTTCTAAAGAAAATCCTTATATCGTACATCCCCGATTGATTGGTTCCCTGCTTATTGGATTCTTTAGTTAACATGAGAAGAACATAAGGAAACAAGGAAACTTCAGAAAGGCTATTAGCCTATGAGGAGCAGTTCCTATTTATACCCAATCAAACTCGTTCATGTACATGTCTGATCTGACATTCTAATGATCCTATATTTATTATGCTACAAAGTAATCTGTTTCATAAATCAGCAATTCTTTCTCCAAAGCAGTACTATTTACCCAAATATTTTCTGAATCTGAACTCTACCAATACAGTACTGTATTACATTCAGTAAAGACTTGGGTAAATACAGTACTGTACCTCTGCACACTTACATATTTATATAAATGCTCAAATTGAAAGTTATACTGAAAAATAACCAAAGTTATATTCTGAAACCCTTATGTTTTGCTTCCCTTCTGGTTGCCCCATATTAGAGGAAGACAAGTAATGGCAATTTCTGGGAGAAAGGAGGGAGGGTAATTTTATTAATAAGAATATGGCTTTGTTGCCTGGCCTAGTGATCAGTAATAACCTTCCTGATCAGGTGTAATTGAAACGTGTCTAGTTGTGTGTAAACCTTATAGAATTTACATTTGCTAGTTTTGTCTTAAGTACTGCATTAACTGTGTATAACACTAATAGAAATTTGGCAAGTACATTACTGTAAGTGCTTGTTCTGACAAATGTAAAAGATATTGTGTTAGTACTATAATTATACGTAATAATTATTTGTTATTACTGTTTAGTGTTTCTTCCTTATCAACCCAGCCTTCGTGTACCACCTGGCTGCAGCACAGAGCTTAATCATGCTGGCTACTCCTTCCTCACGTGTCTATTCGAAAAATATGATCGTGACAAGGATAATGCACTTAGCCCACAAGAACTCATAGATCTCTTTTCCACCTGTCCTGTTATGCCCTGGGGTCCAGATGTCCTCAATTCAGTTCACACAAATGAAAAGGTTAGTCTCATCTATTTGGTGCAAAGAACTGACACATTCTTGTCTACATTGTTTGGAGTAAAACCTCGTGATTTTCTTTCTGAACTATCCCATTTAGTTTTTCGTTAAGGCTAGATTCTACTCGTCTCGGGTTAGGGTCTGCTGCAGTCGAGCACATTTCAAACTGCCTATTGAATTATACTGGTGCTAGGGAGACTTTGAAGAATGCTTGTACTCCGATTTACTTTCTTATGCCATTACCTTGGTGCAATAGGTAATGACAATGGGGTCAGTTTGTCCTTAGAGCTTTCATAGTCTCAATGCTTGTCAATTATTTCTAGTTATTGTTACTGTATATGCTGCCTAGTCACTGTTTCTTGTGTACCACAGAATAGTAACAACTGACTTGATCATCACTAACACTTGTTTATCAAAAATCACAATTAAAATATTCACCTTTATAAATTAATGCATCTTCCAATGGCCATTTAATTATTAAGTAATCTCCACTATGCAAGTAAATTTCGCTTGTTCGGTGACTCGACAATTTTCGTGATGTCATTGCACTCCCTCTGTTGATCATAAACATCACCAGACACACTTGCTTATTTATATACACTAGGATGGTACATCATCGTTAACACTACAATGGGCTGTCCTGTGGCATCACTGATCTCTCAAGATCCTCAGCTGTTCAAACCAAATCTTGGACTTTGTTGACAGTTAGGAGCAAATTGTACTGTAGTTCCTTCCACACATTTTTCTTAATCAATTTGACTATTTTTAATTTCAATAATAATTGGTGCATGGTTTAAGTACTTGTAAGTAAGTTTTGCAACAGTATATTGTTCTTAAATGGGATGCAAAACATGTCTGGCCCAAGGTGCTGCACATCACAATTAAAAAAAAATAAGCACTACATTTGATCCTCGGCTTGTTCTTCGGCTCCTGTAAATTGTGGTGTATTTTTCTTTATCTAGGCTTCAGATGGGTAGGCTTGGCTGGAGGGCTGTAATGTAGTGTTGGCTCTTCTACCTTGTGGCAGTTGGTGGTAGTGGATAATTAGATAGTTAGCCAAAGAACTGCTTGGCAGTATCAGTGTTACAGCGTTACACATGGAGAATATTTTGAGTTTATTTGAACCACTTACCTGTTTTCATTTTGAACATTGATTCATCTTCAGTGTCTCACAAGCACCAGTACAACACTACAGGGTACAGTAGTTTGAAATATATTCCATTGTGGAATGTGTGTCTGCTCTGACTGTGACAGATTCTAACCAATGTTAAGTTGGATCTTCCCTTAACGAGCATCTGAGGGTGATGCTCAGAAAACGTATTCAAAACTTTCAAAATGCATTCAAAACTTTATTATTCCACCCATTCATGCAAAAATATTTACCACATTTTTACTTTTGAGTAACATTCTTAATAATAATGTTTTTTTAGGGGTGGATCACATTGCAAGGCTATTTAGCTCAGTGGACTCTCTGGACTTTACTAGATGTTCAGAGAACATTAGAGTACTTTGCATATCTTGGATATTGTGGATCCGGTGATGACAATCAGCTTTCTGCTATCACAGGTATTGTTCTGTTATATTATGCATCTTAGTGCACTGATAAATTAAGTTGATATAAAATTACATATTACATACGATGATGATGATAATTTGCAAAATATATTTTCTCTACTCCTGTTTGTAACAGTTACCCGAGAGAAACGAATTGACCTGCAAAAGAAGCAAACAATGCGGAATGTATACCAGTGTCATGTTATTGGGCCTCGTGATGCTGGAAAGACAACCTTCTGTCAAGGGCTTCTTAGCAGAACTTTAGAGGTGTAGTATAGAAATGTAACTCTTTGGAATGTTGGTAAAAATAGATGTTAGGTGAACACAAGGAATTTAGTAATAACGGTACAATGCACATAGTGTACATGAGTATGTATGATTAAAGTGTGAATATAAAAAAGCAGATGCATAGAGCAGCCTCAGTAGAATGGATCATGCAAGAATGGAACCTTTGATGAAACATGATGAATTGTTTAGTGGAATAAACCTTATTTTTACTTTCCCAAGGAGCATTCAAATTTGTTTTTTTCCCAGTCCCCATACCATTAAATCCCCACCTCAACACATTAATAGATGTATATAACTTGTAGATGTACTCGCCTAGTTATGCTGAGGTGGGGGGGGGAGGGGTTAGGTTCGGCTCATTGGCTGTGCTGTAGTTTGTAAGGGAATCAGGAAGGTTGGCACTGTTGATGGTGCGGTGGCTAGTTGTGTTCATAGGACGAGGGTGGATCACCGGATGGTAATGATCATTACCATTGGTTACTTCTACATTTCTTGTCTATTTACTTATTTAGTGTGTCAAAATGATGTTTGGGGGATATGTATTGTACATACTAGTATATACTGTGCTCAAACAGAACTCATGTCTTTGAAATGCAAAACATTTCTTCAGTTACTAAACACAGGTAGCATCAGATGAAATGGACACTATCAAACGTTTCCCATTGAAACTCATTGAGATTAGTATTAGTGAAATGTACCTGATTATGCTAAAAATACTTATATGAGAATAATGTGTTAAAAATAATACAATTATTGAACTATTATAATAATAATTATTGAACTATAAAAAATAATAAAATATTAGAATTACAGTAATATGAGGTATATTTTGTAACCTATTTTAATCTAGTGCTTCCCCTCTGCCTTGCCTTGTTTGATTTTCATTCCTTGTTACAAGTTAAGTGATCTGGTGGTCTCCATGTAATTTCTGACACTTTCTGTTTTCAACACTTGCAGTGTCCAATGAGAGGTTTTAATGTCATCCATGGTTTTGCAGTACAGTATTGTAATTGATTCAATACTTATAAAATGCATCATCCAATCTCAAAATGCTTGGGTTTTCACTTCCTCAGCCATCTTATTTGTACCTGGATGGGGTTCTGGGAGTTCTTCTGCTCCCCAAACCTGGCCTAAGGCCAGGCTTGACTTGAGAGCTTGGTCCAACAGGGTGTTGCTTGGAGCGGCCCTCAGGCCCACATATTCACCACAGCCCCCCGGTTGGTCCGGCACTTCTTGAAGAAAATTATCCAGTTTTCACTTGAAGACGTCCACGTTTGTTCTAATAGTATTTCTTATGCTTGCTTGGAGGATGTTGAACAACCGTGGACCTCTGATGTTTATACAGTGTTTTCCGATTGTGCCTATGGCACCTCTGCACTTCACTGGTTCTATTCTGCATTTCCTTTCATATCCTTCACTCCAGTATGTTGTTATTTTACTGTGTAGATTTGGGACCTGGCCCACATGTATATTATTTGATACCTCTCGTCTCCTTTCTAGGGACATTTGGAGAGCTTTGAGATGATCCCAATAGATTAGATGCTTTATTGTGTCTATGCCATATATGTTCTTTGTATTCCCTTTATTTCAGCAATCTCTCCTGCTCTGAAGGGGAAGTGAGTACTGAGCAGTACTCAAGACAGGACAGTACAGGTCATTTGAATAGTAGTGTACAAACATTGTGATGGGATCCCTGGATTTGAAGGTTCTCGTAATCCATCCTGTCATTTTTCTGGCTGATGCTATATTTACTTGGTTATGCTCCCTAAATGTTAGGTTGTCAGACATCATTATTTCCAGATCCTTAACATGCTGCTTTCCTACTATGGGCACATTTGATTGTGTTTTGTACCCTGTATTTTGTTTAGGGTTTCTCATTTTTACCATACCTGAGTACCTGGAATTTATCGCTGTTAAATATCATGTTATTTTCTGCTGCCCAGTCAAAAACTTTATTAATATCTGCTTGTAGTTTTTCAATGTCTTCAGCAGAGGTAATTTTCACGTTGATTTTTGTGTCGTCTACAAAAGGTAATACAAAGCTCTGACTTGAATTTTTGTTAATGTCTGAGATGAGAATAAGGAAAAGCAGTGGTGCAAGGACCTTGGCCTATAGTGTTGAGCTTTTAACTGTGCTTTGCATCTGCATCTACACAATGTACATTTTTTTAAATAGTACTCCATCCCACTGAAGTCATGGCACCTCTCCCACAAATTCATGGGACACCACCTAGTATCATGGCACCCTCCCCCTAAAGTCATGGCTTCCCTTCACAAAATTCATGCCATTCCTGTCTCGTGAATTCATGACATTCCTGTCCTCCTGAAGTCATGACACTCCCTTCTTCTAGTTATGATGCTCCCCTCCCCTGAAGTCATGACACCACCGCCTCCCTTCCCTGAAATCATGGTACTCCCTCCTCCTGGAGTTATGGTAATCTCAACCCCCCCCCCCCACCCTGAAGTCATGGCCTACCCTAAAGTCCTTACATTAATTTTGTTTATCAAATTTGTAGTAAATTCACATTTGTATATCTAATTTATTAATTTATAAATCATGTGTAACATTCACTATCAAGTTGCTCTTTTTACAGGAGGTGCAAGATATTGCCGCAGACAGATTGTCCCGACACACCATCAGCACGTTACAAGTTTATGGCCAAGAAAAATATTTGGTTTTGCATGATATAGATGTCCACAACATAACTGATGCCCTCATGCCCAATGAAGTCCAGTGCGATGTAGCCTGCTTAGTGTATGATGTTTCGAATCCTAAGTCGTTTGAATATGTTGCTAGAATATATTTGGTAAGTTTTTTCTAAGCAGCATGTGAAAATAGTATGGCAAATTTGATTTTCAATTTGTTATAATTGATCATGCATATTTCATAACTTTTAATGTAGTATCTAATAGAAAAGTAAAATTTTTATATTAAGCAATATGGGATTGTTCCAGTTTGTTCTTTAACCAAGCCAGTTTTGAGGATTCTTTTCCAGATGTTTTAGGTACAGTACAACCTCGATTCAATTATATAGGACCAACCCCGATTCATTGTAACGAGGGATTCGTTACAACTGGAGATGTCTCCAAGGTTGCATTCTCACGCCCTATGGGCTGATTTCATGCAGCAAAATTTTTAACCTATAATATAATAGACAAGTACCAAATGAACATACCTGCAAAAAAATTTAACTGCCACTGGCTTATTTCTCACATCTCAGCCTCAAAACTCATTTTCAAAAAGTAGCAGGGCTGGTCTCATTCTACTGAGACTAGCAGCCTCAGTAGAATGGATCTGAGTAAACCAAAACCTTGCCAACTCAGAATATAAATAAACAATAGAGCTTGGTTTGAAATATCCTCAATAACTTTCTCAAGGCTCTGTTTCTTGTAATGTTGAGTCCATGTACAAAAACCATCAAAACCGTGATTAGAGCAATAATAATGATAGTTACTATTCATACCCTAATATTTCCAACGTTTTAAGGGCTGATTTCACTGAGCAAAATTTTAATTTCAACCTGTCATATGAAGGGTAACAATCAAGAGAACCTGTCTGTAAAAGATTTACCCACACCTAGCATATTTCCCACGCACAAGCCTCGAAATCTAATTTTCAATAGAAAGAGGGCCCATATTTTACTGAACAAAAATTCTCTGCAACTGGAAAAAAAAGGAACCATAGAATTTGATTTTAAATATGTTTAGTGACTTTCCCAGGCCCCAACCATTTATTTTGCACTGTTGCCCACCATCTGTGAACTCAGTCCCAACATCCTAAGCAAATCCACACATCCCCTGCTTCAGCGCACTCTTGTTCGTCGAATTGGGTGAGTAAACCTGGCATGGAAAGTGTGTGTTCCAACTGGAGATTTGCCGAATTGAGGTTCATTGAATCGAGATTCCACTGTGAACAAGCAGAATCTAACATTATTAAATGTTAACAAGTCTGATACTCAATCACTTGGATAAATTAGTGCAGTATTAATTGTAGTGATTAATATTTGGTGGTAATTATGGTAAAATCCTCAGAAAAAATATTTATTTATTTCTATACAAGAAGGTACATTGGGTTGTGAAAATACAAAACATTGGTGTTCTTATGTTTTTGCAAAGCCAGTAACACACACAGCATTTTGGGCAAGTCCTTAATTAAAATAACAATGTTCTCCTTTTCAGAAATACTTTAGTGAAACATCTATCCCAGTATTGTTTGTTGCCAATAAGAATGATATGTCTGCCGCCCGTCAAGATTATATACATCAACCAGTCTCCTTTTGTCACAAACACAAGATTCCACCACCACACACATTTTCTTCTGCAGTCCAGCCTAAAAAAGACATCTACACCAAGTTGGCAACAATGGCTGCGTATCCGTAAGTTTATTCCTATTCTTGTTTTTACTCAATTTTATTCATAATAAGTCTTATGTCTTATCAGTACATTGTTTTCATTGTACATTTGTTTACATTGTACATTTTTTTCATTCTGATTGCTCATTGAGTTTTCAGCACAGTCAACACAGTGGTCAATTGGCAGTACAGACTGTAGTCATGGCCTCAATACAAAACAGGGATTGAGCAATGTATGTGATAGATAGATTTAATACATTTGTTTCTGAGAGGGCCCCCTCAGTAGCTCCCTAAGCTTTATGCACTGGTATTGCCAAGCCTGAGCTAATTGTACCAGGTCTCTCAGGCCCGTCCTTCACTACTGGAAGCCACGACTTCTCTTTCCGATTCCATGCCCGACACTGCAGTTAAAGTATATTTTTGGACCCTCGTGGCCATTCTTGTTCCCTTCTTTTTTCAACCTGTATGATTCAAGCTCTACTTTCACCTCGTAAGGTATGTGCTGTTGTTGGCACTGGATTTCAGATTTGTCTGAACCGCCTTGTAGAGCAGCTGTCTATGAGGCTGCAACCACTGTAGAATCAGGCTATACATTATAGGCTCTTATACTTACTGTATATGTGGGTGTGGGGGTGCAGTTGCTGATCCCCTGCTGTTGGGAAGTTTGCGGGCTTCATGTCTTGAACGCTAAAGTCAGATACCCAGCAACTGTCTCTGCCCTTCATCGTCAGCCAGTGGACTTGAAAATGAAAGGGCACATTATCATAGATGACTAAAATACTAATGAACTATGAAAAGGCATGGGATGTGTAATATTGATATTCATAAACAGCACTGAAACATTAACCTGAAAGACTGTAAGAATGTAAGGAAGTGATCCTTGTAACAATAAGAATAAGTCAGTTTTACTGTTACTGGCCTTCCAAACAAATGTTACTGTAAAGATTTTTGGCATCTTAAATTCCACAGACTCGCTTTCCATTAAAGTTCTTTGGATTATGTGATGCTTTAATGCTTCCTGAAGAAAGGAAAGGTCTTGTCATCTCTTCTGGCCAATTAAAAAAAACATTTTCCTCTGCTCATAGCCAGAGATTACAATACAAAACTCAGCTTGACTAACAATTAAGAATATTCTGGTTACTTTAAAATATTTTGTGATGCAATTTTGAAAATTGGCAAATTTTTCATATTTAGACATTTGTATTGGTATAGACAAATCTCATAATACAAGTTGAAGTTTTCTAGTAAAGGCAGGTAACTTAAAAATGTAATAATGTGCTGTAGCAGCATTTCACCATGTTAAGTCACAAGATGTCTTTGAAGTGCCTAAGATATCTCTGTATAATACTGGGAGTTTGACACAATATTAGCAGTGTATTCTTTCAAGGCCTCATCTTGTTGTCTGATTAGTGCGCTCCATGTTGGTGTCTGAATCTTGTATCAGCCTTTCAGGGTAATTTGCATTAATGTGCTTGTAAAAACCCAGTTTAGGGCTTCACAATAGTTTGAGAAAGACATGCCATACTCCACAAGATGCATTGCTTAAAATGAGGTGTCCATTGGTACCTTAAGGTTGTTACACAGAGAGGATTGTTACACATATTCCTGAGGCTTCCACTGAAGCCAAACCTGGGTTTCACACACTACTCCCATGCACTCTGGCTCTGTCATCTTGGAATGTTCTACCTCTGATGCTCCTCTTCAGTATGCAGAGAGAACTCACTCTTAACTTGATGTATCAATGAGAAAATCCCTAGGAGCCGTGATGTTATTAGAACCTATGTGCTGAGTATTTCCAGGTACACACACCCCAGACAACTGCTCAGTGTAAGTTCTAATCCTCATTACGTCTCCTACAGATTTTCTCATTGGTACATCCTGTTAGAGTGAGTTCTCTCTGTGTATTGAAGACGAGCGTCAGAAGTAAAACATTCCTAGACGATAGAGCCAATGTGCATGAGGGCATTGTGTGAAACCCTGGTTTGGTTCGGCAGAATCCTCGGGAATCCTCAAGGGTTCAGTAGAACTCCAGGTTGCGATCCTTTTGACCATGTTATGTTATAGTCTAAGTTGTGTGGGGTGTGTGTACCTGGGAATACTCTACACATAAGTTTGCATCCTCTTCACGGCTCCTACGGATTTGTTCTGAGCTTGTTACTTGTCACCTATGGTACAGTGTTTAGTGCGGGACACAATGCAAAGCTGTGTGGCCATTTCCTTCGCTTGCCAAAATATTCTTACATCACAAGAATTGGTTTGCAAAAAGAACCTTCCATATTCATGGTAGTTTAATGACTATGACAACACCACATTATGAAGCAGTTGATAGTTTTTGAAGTTATAATTTCATCTTTACAAAACACACTGAAATTTGTATAAGGCTCACTCGGTTCCAGTTATTTGGTCCATACCTAAAAGGAATATTTTAGTAAACTCAAATGTTATTACCTTTGAACCAAAACAATAATATTTTTATTTGTTATTGTATTTTAATATACTGTATATGTAAAACATCTTGTATTCATCATCAGTCAAGTAAAGAAAGATTTTACACTAGCTAATGTAATGATAATATACATCTCTACAACCTAGACTTACTAACAACCATTCTTTCCCTTTAGTCGATTTCAAGCTGCTTGGATGCTCTTTTACCGAAGCAGGTGTGTAATAATAAGTAACCGAGATCAGGTGTTTTGCCTTGCTAAATTGAAGTTCAGCTTAGTCGTATCACTATTGCATTTATGTAATATGATGTGTTTTTAAAACAGTTGGAATGCTTTCTTAAATGGTACTTTCTTATACTGTTTGTGGTTTTGAATCTAGAGAATCTTTAAAAGAAAGTTGTCGTCTGTTATATTTGCCAATTCACTCTGCAAGCTTTACAGTTTTTCAATTGGCTGAAGAATGAGTGCTAAATAATGAAATCTCTCTGAATTATTCCTCATTGCAAGATTCAAAATCATTGATAGTAATGTATTTCTTATTATAAATATATATTATCATGTCTCATGTTTTAACATACAGTAGTATAAATTTGTTGCATTTTGAAACACCCCCTCAGTAAATATACAGTAGTTCTGTAGTTTCGGTATTTGAATATTAAAATTTAAAAATTTTTGTGAAACATTTTCAGTAGTTTGATATTCTGTATAAATTTGACAAAAAAAAGTATGTATGCACCCATTTCTATTAGAAAGTGTCAAATTTATGTAATTTCATTCAACTTATTCTACAATTGCCTAGTTGTTTGTTATAAAGCCTAATTATTGTATGTCTATACGTGTAAATACATCAACATCAAGTTGCCTAGATAATGATTTTTAACGTTGGGCTTTTATAGTAAAAATATATATATTCAGAGAATCATTGAGAGCCTTAATGGACCTTGAAGGGGGTTTTTCCCTTGAAAAATAAACATTTATAAGTGAAATGTTTTCTTTAATACTGGCGACCATTATGAATGCACTTGCAGCACTCTCCGTCGTTTAGTGCACATGCTTCTGTTGCGGCCAGACACATCTTATATGACAAGGTGGGAAGGAAGCAGAGAAAGTACATGATATCAATTTTAGAAGTTTGAATTTTGCACACTTGCTCCTTTTTTATTTAATATAATTGTGGTGCTTCAATTTCTAATTAATATTTTTGTCCTGTTTCGTGAAGTTATCCACAGTTTTCAGTTACTAACAGCTTTTTGCAACAATTCTTTGCTATAGTCATTTTCTTCATTCCCTCAACAGTAAATCAGTCTAAGCACTGGTGAATGACACACAAGATTTACATGAGAGACTATAGTCTCTCATTTGTATGTTGGTGAATTCTGTTCTCAGTGTATTGCAAAGGGCTTTCAAAAAGAATTTGTTTGATTGTTATTATTTTGTATAAGTTATAATTTGCATGGAATTTAAAGCTGTAAATTTAGTGCACTAAGTGTTGACAGTTTTATATAATCTAATATTGTATATACCTCTAGTTGAGAGATAACTGCAATCCCTGTTCGTATCCTTGTTATAAGATCATAAGATACGAACTTTTAAGTTCATATCTTATATTTATAAGATCTCCACCCAGTGGGGTGGAGATGGGGAGGTCTGGTAGCTGAGCAGACAGTGCGCAGGACTTGTAATTATGTGGCCCGGGTTTGATTCCTGGAGCAGGCAGAAACAAATGGGCAAAGTTTCTTTCTCTCTGATGCCCCTGTTACCTAGCAGTAAATAGGTACAGTACCTGGGAGTTAGACAACTGTTAGGGCTACTTCCTGTGTGTGGGGGGGGGAGGGGGGAGGAATAGTTAGTAGTTAGTAACAGTTGATTGATTGACAGTTGAGAGGCAGGTCGAAAGAGCAGAGCTCAACCCCCGCAAGAACAACTAGGTGAATACACAGAAATCATAATAGCGTGATATATCAAATGAACAAACTTGGTTTGATTTTTGTTTGTATATGATTTGTTCATTGACTTGAAACCCATTTCTTTGTTGCTATCCTGTCTGGCACTGTTGCCCAGAAATAGATTCAAACACCAGCAGTTAAATCACAATTTGGGCAATGCCAAATTGTGATTTAACAATAATTAACCAAAGTCTTATGTCGCAAGATAACCTCATTGGTAGTAAGCAATTAAAATTATAACAGAATTTGGTTGGCTAACTGCATTACATCCATATAGATGTATTTACATAATTTGTATAAACACTGAGTGATAATTAAAATCAGCACATGATAATTGCATTACTTTGAAGATCAACATGGGGCGTACTTTTAGGGTTAATACCAAGCCGAGTTATTCTTTTGAACATCACAACGTCTTAGGTTACTACGATTAAAATGGAGTGAACTTTTTTTACAAATTCTTAAAAAGGGGCATACAAGTTCCCTCAATGACTATATACTATATATATGTTTATATCTAATAAGTTTAACTGAGATACAGTCAAACCAGAAAATTGGCAATACTATATGAAAGTTCATTTGGATGTTGTACAGCAAAAGTAAACACAAGATCTGCGAACCAACACATAAAGCAGAATAATTTAAGGTATAAATACTTCTGTGTTTAGATAATAACTGGGACAGCATATCTGTGCCTAGAATTATTTTAAGGTAATTCTGTCCCACGATCTGGCAATTTCAGACGCCTCTCTTGAAAGAGATAATTTAAATCTGATGGTGAATTTAGCCTGTTGAACAAATAATTTTGCTTGTAAACATTGCTTTGTATTCTTAAGGTTGGTTAATGCCTCTAAAGTAACTATGGTAAGATTTCAGTATAGAGTAAATACTGTTCCTACAATGCACAAGCAACAGTATAACTTTGGTTAATTCTAGAACTTGTTCCCCCAACATAAGCAATAATCATATGTTTTAATATTAGTTCATAAACTGAAAGTTATATAAAAGTACCTTTGTAAACTGCCTATGTTTTGTAGTGGCATTTGTAGCTGCTGTCTGCATCTAGAAATTATTAGTAGTGTACATTTCAGTTTTTTCAGACTTTACCGTAGATAATATAAACAATATTTGAATACTGTACTTTATTTGTAACAGTAAGAGCCTGCTTAGTCTGGGGGTGTGGAGACTTATACCAGCAAATTAAGACCAATTTTGAATAGGTTTGCTTATTTATCATGATATATTTTGCATGAGTGCATGAATTTTGTAGTAATATATTGTGATTGGTGGAGTAGCTAAGTTTGACGATGCCAAAAATACTCCACGATAGATCTGATTCCTAATACTGTGCTGAATGCTTTTAAGATTAAGGATTTGTTGAAATTGTGATGTTATATTAGAAGAAATACGTAATTGTATTTTTTAGGAAAATGTAACTTGATCTGTGCTCTTTGCATTTGCATGTACCTGTGCAGTATCTCATTGCTTATTTTAGTGCATGAACAAGATATATATATGTACAGTGATCACAATTGAAGTTTATGTATTTTAAATAATTAAAATTATTATGGTATCAATTTGTGAATGTGCATTTTCTAGCCGTCTCTTGCTGTTTCCTTAATTTTGATGGGCATGATTTGTGTATGAATGTTATTAGTTGGACTAATAATCCCATTAGGTTTATGAATAGTGATAGGACTTTATATTTTCTACACCCAGTTCCTAGAACTCACAACTCATGAGTTAACTTTCTCCTTCATCAGTATACTGATACCTTTATGTAGGTTAAGGCTTACTAGTTATACTGTAATGAAATGGTCTATGTCGTCAGCTCGGTCCAGGGTCCCAGGTATCATTCCCATAATAGGACTGAGACAGTTGGGTATGTTTCTTTGCAACTCCTTGCAAGGCTTGACTCCTTGCTTCATCTAGCAGGTACTCGGGAGTAAAACGGTTATTGTGGGTTGCACCCTGGGGAAGGTCAGTAGTTGGCCTGTGCAGTATCAAGATCTGCATAGATCTGCTGGGCTTCCCGACAAGATCTGAGATCTGTTATGCTTGTCGACGAGATCTGAGACCTACTAGGCTTCCTGTCCCTAACAATAGGAAACTAGACTCAGTTTCTGTATAGTTCCTTTATGCTTGTTGAGAGTATGCATAGATGCCTCCTTCCATTTCTTGTTTACTAACAACCCATTCTCCTGTTTACATAGTAGTTTTTGTAACTATGTGCACCATAGTACAAAGATTGTTGTTCTAAGCAATTAGATAGAAGAGCTTTGTACTATTTACTTTATAGTCGATAAAAAATAAAGCTTAAAAACTAAAATATTTCTAGGCCTAGTATAGCACACACATGTACTATATTAGGTTGCAGATATTGGGTATTAGGCCTAGGGAGGTTAGGTTAGGTTAGTTTGTCTGCAACACAAGTAGAAAATAGTCTTCCAGTTTGTCCAACTCAATAGTGCCAATTTCTATTTTCTAATTTCGTTGTACATCGGTATGTATACTATGGTCCTCATCGTTACTATAAGTACTACCAAAACAGGAGGATGGGCTGTTACTAATGATGTTACGGGGTCAAACTAATTATTGTTTATGTATAGAAAAATCAGGCGGGTAGCTCATAAGAGAAACAAATCTCATTTATTCTTTATATAGAATATTACATTAATTATATAATCACATGTACTATATATATATTATACTGTGTTATACAAATGATATTTATATTGTTACTGTATGTATCCGCTAGAATACAAATACTGTAAAAAGTTTGTGTTGCAGGCACCTGAAGCAGCTGGGTGTGGTTGTTGGTGAACATAGTACCTGGCTGAAGGTGGGCTTGGGTGTAGCTGCCATTGCTGCCTTTGCCCTCCTCCTGGCCCGAGCCTTGCGCTCCACAGATAGATAGTTATTCAAAACTGTGTCATTAGGCCCTTGCTTCCTGCTCTAGGAACTGGGTCACATTAAGTGGATTGGGACACATTACCATCTCAGAGATGTGTGTTGTTTGGCATATTCTAGATGCTACTTCAAACAAATCCTGTAATATAAGTGTTGGGTGCAAGAAGTCATTTCAGTTTGTAAGATAATTAAAAAAAAGGAATAATTTAAAAAATTTATTTGCAATGTTTCAGGCCATGTTCATTGTTTAGTTTTTAGGGATTGTATTCATGGAAGTTATTATAATGGGGATTATTATATAACAGCTGTAAAACATGGAATATTTCCCTAAATCATGGTAGGTACCATGTTTTTCATGGTTATTTTTTTAACAAATTGTTATAGTACAGTACATACAGTACTTAAAATTTTGGGAATACAAATTTACCGTAAAATGGAGGTAGGTGCTACAGCTATATATTTCTTGAACATTTGTATTCATAAATATGTTTTAGAATTCAATATCCATGCTAGGTCATCATGGTTTTATTTTAACAATTTTGATTTTCAACTTAGGAATACGTGTACTCAGTCTACAAAAATTATTTTGATGTCTTGAGTTTTAGCTAGCTGGGTTTATACCATATAGTGTAATTTACTTGTAATTAGTTCATTAGAATTTAATATTAATTTACCTTTCCATTCTTTGTTCACAAAAAATCTGATCCTATTATGAAAGTGACAATGCTTTGTTGAGACTATGGTTCTGACTGTCACAGTTCATGCTCAGCCAAAATAGGAATATGATAAGTTAAATTTTGGTAATAATGCCAGTGTAGTGTATACTGTACCTTCATTGCTCAAGAAAATGCACATTATATTTGGTTTTTACATTAGCTGTTCATTGATTGCCAAATACATCACAGCAATATAAATAGGTGAACAAGATAAATATTTTTATAAAGCAATTTGCAATTGAATGTTTGATTTTCTTCAAAATGTCATTAACAGTTTGTAAAAATGTTAAATCAATAGTTATTCAATTCTTATTGAATGCAAATTTTCTTAATACTTTAGTAATTATTGATTTATGAAACATGTTTAACTAGTTGGATACATTGGCCCATAGCTCAGACTATTGTCTTGCTTTATAACTTTTACTTTAAGTTAACAATATTTAATACTATACAGTACATTTGAAGTAGTGTACACTGTCATCTGTGTCGTATTCGGGCACAGTAAAAATGAGAATGATAAAAATTAAATTTTGAGAGAACCGACCAAGGTGAAATGCATTGCTCCATTTCAGGGTTTAACGTATTTTATTGGTATATAGGTGGGAAACTGCTCTCGCAAGGTTGCGGATTGGCCATACTCGCTTAACTCACGGTCACTTAATGGAGCGCCGCCCTGCTCCTTATTGTCCAAATTGCATTGTCCCTCTTACAGTTGTGCATATCATTGTTGAATGTCCTGATTTCCAGGACGCGTGTGTCTTGCTTTCCTACCGTCCCTCGCGATCACTTGTCCCTCGATAGAATTCTTGGTGAATTGGATATTTTTTATATCGTTCGCCTTACGCGTTTCTGTTCTCGTATTGGCATTCTTGGTGATATTTAGCGCCCTCTGATTATTTTGCACTTTGATGGTGCTACATAGCCTTCCCGGTTTGGTGCCTTCTTTTGATAATTACCTTACCTTATTGGTATATAGAAGATTAAGTTATAGTTGTGAATTTTGGAAAATTCGAGGCTCTTACCATAGTTTATTATATTATTGCTATACTATTATACATTTAATATCAATGCAGCTCGTAGAGCAAAAGCGACCACTTGACAAACACTGCACAGTAATTTTAATTTTCCAAGAGTTCACCTCTGTTCACACAGCAGTAATTGAGTACCTGATTGTTTTCCTATTGGCCTATCTTGTTCCAGGAGAACTAGTGGATAAGGCTTAACACGAGCCATAGGAAGGGAAAGCTCTCGGCCTGTTAACATAAGTCAGCAGTCGTCTGTTCCTATATCCACCTCTTTAAAAAAAAAATTTCTTTCTTCCTGAGCAGTCATCCTGAGGCCAGTTTTATTACCACCTTACTCTGCTTGTACCACTCCCATATTGCTTCAACAACACTAATCTGGCCTTATTTCTTTTGTGCATAACAATCAAGAGAGCTGAAGTCTTCATAATGTCAAAATTGTCTTGCTCACTTTGTATTTATCACACACAAGGACATAATTTTTTTTGCCTTATTTATTAATATTTCTACACATAATTCGTTGCTCCATGTTTCTCTCCTCTTCCTAATGGCTGCCAGTATGAGGCTTTGTTAACAAATCTTGTATACAATGTTAGGTTGCTGTGTGGGGGTCGGTTCTCTCTGAGAAGCACTAGTAAATGAATAGTTGAGGGGAATAAATACTGTTGTTTGTATATGATACAGTTGACTGTACACAAGGTATTTAATCATATGAAATGAACTTCTTGCTGTAATTGAAATATTTTGACTGACTGACTTTTCACCCGTCGGCTTTCCATCATTGTCTTCAATATATTGAAGTTACATTTTTTAAGTAAACTTTATCATGCCAGTATTGTGCAAGTGTAAATAGCAAGCTTGTATGTCACTCACATACATCATGGTTCAGGTGAACATGTTCATATACTATACAAGATCATATTTTATAACAATTTTTATATTTGCGTACAATATTACTGAATGTAAATTTATCTGGCTCTTAATATTCAACTAACATATGTGCAATATTAGTCCCATTTCCATAATTAGTATTTTAATTAATATTACTCATTGATTATAAAATTATCAATATAGTAAAAGATTTGACAGCTGGGACCATACCCCTCTATATTTGAGCTAGACTAAAGGAAGTAGCAATATGCTTACATTATATGTACAGTTTTTAAAGATGCAAATACAGTACTGCAAAATTGAAAAAAAAAATCCCACCAGTTGGAAAGTGGTTTCATTTTCCAAATAGGTTCCCCCTCCCTTTCCAGCCCGTTGTTGTTGTGAGTTGGCTTGGTGGGCGGCTGCCGGAGTGTGATGCTCCATGGGACTCTGTCCTGTAGAAGACTAATGCTCCTGCTGCAGTCTTCACAAATTGTGCTGGAAGTCTTTTTTTTTTTTTTTTTCCTCTTCCTCCCCCTCCGTGGTGTTGTGCACCTCCCTGGGCCTGGTGAGGGTTGCCCTCACCCCCTCTCCTGGCCCTCTTTGGGTGTTATACTTGTGAAATAGCACCGTGTAGGGTCCTTTTGAATCATCGGACTGCCTGCTGGAAGGGTCGCCCATGAGGGACTACCCTGAGTGGATGGCTGGGTATCCAGGCTGGGGTGATAAGGGGAATGAGGTCTTTGCACCAGTGTGGGAGAATGGACGATGCAGTCAGACTCTCCTGTTAAAAAGGAGGAGCACCGCTGGGGACGACTCTGCTCTGGTACACTCTCTGTCCTTTGTGTGGGGGCGAAGGTCACTCTAAGTCGGAGAGTCAGAGTGCACTTCTCCCCAGGCTTGCGGCCTCAATTGCGGCGAGGCCCACCCTACCTTCTCCCATGCGTGTGTACTTTACAAGCTTGAGGCAGCCATCCTCAACTTGAAGCACCGGGAGCGTTTGTCTTTTCCTGAGGTGAGGCGCTAAGTTCGCCGTCTCCCCACCTTATGCTAACGTCTCTTATGCTCGCGTGTTGCGCTTTTCCTCTCCTCGTCCTTCCACAGACTCGAAACCGTTTCCAGGCCTTGGACCCTGACACGCCCGCCACCCCCTCCTCTGTTCCTGTGCGTTCTGTCCCGAAGGGTCCCCCTCCTGGTCCTCTGTCTGGGGTTCCCCTTCTTTCTGCTCGGTCTGTCATGTCTCCTGTGTCTTCTTCCTCGTCTCCCTCTGATCCTCCTCCTCCATCTATTGGCTCTCCACGCCGCCTGTCAGTATGGGCTGATGTCCATCGCTCTCTCAACGGCCGTCGTGTATGCTCTTGTTCTGCTTCTCCTGTTGAGACATTAGAATCCGTTGCCCAATACATTGTCGCTGGGATGCCTGTCTCTTTGAGTCAGAAGCTTAAGCCTGGCTCCTCTTCCTCCTCCCCGGCGGGTAAAGAGGCTTCACTTTCTTCCTCGCCCCCTACCTCTGACCTCGCTCCGTCCCCTTCCGTTTCAGTGGTTACGTCCCCTGTTCCTGCTATGGAGGTCTCTTTGGCCCCCGCTTCCCTCTCACTTGCTGCCCTTGCTGAGATGCACTCGCTGGTTTCTGCCCCTCCTGCTGCTGTCCTTGACCCTCGGTTATCCCCCCTCTTCCTCCTCCGGACCCTACTCGTCCGCCCCTGGTCGATCCTCTAGCTCCCTTCCCTCCTTTACTCAGTCTTCGATGGTTCCATTCGTGGTTATTACACCAATTTCCTTGATCTCCAACTTCTGATTTCGCGGTTTTTGCCCCTTTGTGTCTGTCTCCAGGAGCCGATGCTTGGTGCTTCTCCTGGTCGCTTTCGTGGCTCCCCCCCTCCCCAGATCTTGCTGGGGATCCTAACTCTTCTGCTCTCTTGATTTGCTCTGATGTTCCCTTTGTCCCCTTACTTTTTCCTTCACCTTAATTGTTCTGCTGCTCATATCTGAGGAAATGGTATACTTCTTGTTCCATTTATCTCCCCCTGAGTGTCCCGCTTTCTCTTCCTGACCTGAAACACCTACTGAACACCTTGCTGGAGCCTGTGCTCCTGCTAGGTGATTTCAATTGTCATCATTCCCTTTGGGGTGATGTTCTGACGAACACCCGGGGTCGTCGCCTTGAGCCGTTCATCCTCTCTTCTTCCGTCTCTTCTGAATTCTGGTGAGCCCACGTATTTTGGGCTCTCGGACTCTCACCCTTTTCTGTCTTGATCTTTCTCTTTACTTAGATTTCACGTGGCAGGTTCTTGACCTCAATGGCAGTGACCATTTTCCCATCCTTGTTACCTTTTCACCCTCCCCTCTCCTTCCCTAGGGGGTAGTTTGCTAAGGCAGACTGGAACCTATTTACCCTCAGTGCTGCTCTCTGACCTCTCCCTTGCTCTCTCCTCCTTTTTCATGACAACGTCTTCGACGCTGCCCTCCTCTATTCCTCGCTCTTCCTCTCGGGGACCACGGAAGTGCATTCCCTGGTGGAATGCTGACTGTGCTCGGGCTGTCTGCTGTAAGCGTGCAGCCTGGAAGAGACACCGCCACCGACAGACGGCCGATTCTTTTCTTTTATTTCGGGAGGTGAGTGAGGTGGCCCGTAGGGCCATCCTTCACCACCCATAGGGTGGTGACGGACCCCTTACCCATCTTGTGGATGGTAGTTGACCCCATATCTACCCTGTGGGCGGTAATGGACCCCATACCCATCCTATGGGCAGTAGTGGACCCCGTACCCATTGAGGTAAAACAAACGCTCTTCCAGACTTTTGGCTTTATTTATCAAACAATTTCAGTAGTCAAATCCTGCAATAAAATTAACCCATATAATAAAAATACATATTTGTATATATAGTTTAAGCGCAGTCAACATTACCCCACTATAACAATAAACAAGCAGCATATGACTAAAGCTAGGGCAACAGAAATTAAGGGAAAAGGGAGTACATATATACGGACCTGCAGCACGACACAGCTGATCTAGCCGGCCACCAAACAATAATAATCAAGCGAGCATCCATCCGGTACAATTATAACTCCGCCCCGATACGAATTAATGTTAATGTGGTCCACTACCACCATCACAGGGGTGGTAGTGGACATCACCACGGGAGACATCTTCCGTCACGCAGGGTGCAGTCGCACCTCCACAGATCTCCAGTATCAGCTCTTGATACTGGTAATGGCTCAAAAGGGCCACCACTTACGGGCTATTCATCCCCGTGCCACCTTTTGGGTGGCTTAATCTTCATCAATCAATCATCGAATTATACACTTTTACTACACCCATCCTACAG